CGAGATCCCCTGGACGACACACGTTTAGTCAAAGAATGAAATAGAAAAACACCTCCGTTCTTAAGGTAAGAATATAAGAAGACCCTTGTAAAGAAAAATCCTTGGTGCATACCTCATTACCCCTACTCCGGATGTAAGAGAGCAAGTTATGTTTTTTCCAGACTTTTTTGATAGATATATGGAAAGTCTGTGTAATTTTGAAGATATATTTTCTCTCCATGTAACTATGGCTGGAAATAGCTGGTGAGAGAAGCAGAGTGTGTTTCCCATACCTGGGAATGTGTGGTGCCCGCTGCTCCCCCTCGTGCACTCTCCCACGGTCATCACTTGAGTGCTGCCACCAGGCTGCCCCAAGCATCTGTCCCTGCCTTGTTCTTCCGATCGCTATGAGTACCCATGTTTGAGAAGGCTCATGAGGGTGAAGGCATTTTCTAGAGCTTCTCTGGCTGGTTAACTTGGGGTTAGAACCTGTGATTTCAAAGGCATTAACTAACAGTGATATTTCTGTTTCTTGAACACTCACTGAGAGTTTTAGGCTTATGCTGAGTGTTTGCATTTTTTCATTTAGTGTTTTCAACAATCATAATTAGATTTGATGATCCCTATTTCTTAAGGATATGCAGAGGTGTCCCTGGAGCTCAGGACTTCACAGGTCCAGTTCGTATTCCTTTCATTACCATCCTGCCGGAGACCAGTCCTGCGTCTGGAGTTTCCCACTGATGTTACCACTGTATTTCTTATCAGCAGAAGAAAGAAGATCTGAACTTACTTTCTACTTGGAAATGGGGTAGTGAATTAGTGTTTGGATCCCCCCCGAGTCTGTCTTGTGAGTAAGGCTGCTCGTCTTGAGTAGTCTTTGAGCCACTTCCGTTGGAACCTCACATAAGCATCTGGGCCCTGAACTCGGACTTCGTGACTGTGCAGCCTGTTGAAAAATTAGAACAAAGACGTGCTGGTTAATATTCCCTGAAAGAGCAGCAGGTTGGAAATGAGTTTGGGGATTTCATCTTGTTTCAAGATTTTGTGAGGACCTTGGCCTGGCATTTTGCCTGGGACTGTTCTCTATCCCCCGGCTCCTTGTGCCTGTGTCAACCTATCGGCTTCTTAGTCTAGTGTCTGCCTAGTGCCCAAAAGCAGTTGCGCCCAAGCTTTTCCCATTAAGGATCCGTTTTGGGGCTTTGAAGTGTTGTCAACTCCGTTTGCAATATAGTGTTTATCATTTGATTTCTTATTATGCTGAAATGGTAGGAGGAATGAAATAATGTATTACTGATCGTAGTATTACAACCTTTCCTCTCGGATAGGTTCCATGAAAGGATCAATGAAACGACCTTCCCTGGGTGTCGTCCTTATTTTAGATGGTGGCCTCTTTAAGGGCACTGGCTAATATCACTATTTGTCTTCTCTGCCCCAACATCTTTTATCCCTTTTGGCACACGGTGGGAGCAGCTGAAGGTCTGGGCATTTCCAGGCTTGTGATAAAGGCATTAAATACCCCCGCCTCTTCTTATTTATTTATTTATTTGAGACAGAGTTTCGGTCTTGTTGCTCAGGCTAGAGTGCAATGGCGCGATCTTGGCTCACCACAACCTCCACCTCCCAGATTCAAGTGATTTTCCTGCCTCAGCCTCCCGAGTAGCTGGGACTATAGGCGCGTGCCACCATGCCTGGCTAATTTTGTATTTTTTAGTAGACATGGGATTTCTCCATGTTGGTCAGTCTGGTCTCAAACTCCTGACCTCTGGTGATCTGCCTGCCGTGGCTTCCCAAAGTGCTGGGGTTATAGGCGTGAGCCACTGTGCCTTGGCCAACCCCCGCCTCTTTTTTACATCCCTCCTCCACCCCTCCCTGGCTGCTCTCCGCCTGCACTGGGGTCTCTTTCTGGTGTTGTACTGCACATTCCTGGAAAGGGAGAGGCCATGTACTACTCAGATTTGAATATTCATGGACCATATACCTAGACAGCAACTTCAGATGAAAACTTAGAATATCTTTGTGACCTCAGGCAAAGGTTTTTCTTAGATTAGAACATAGAAGGCATTAACTGTGGAAGAAAAAACTGATAAATTGAGCTACAGCACAATGAACTGCTTTTGCTTATTAAGACTCCCTTAGGAAAATAAATTGGCAATAGACTGGGAGGAAATATTTGCAAAACATATATAACTAAGGACTTGCATTCAGAATATATACAGAACTCCTACGACTCAATAATAAAACACACGATCTAATTTTAAAAACGGTCAGAAGATTTGAACAAGCACTTCACAAAGGAAGATATAGTGGTGGCCAGTGATCATATGAAAAAGGTTCAACATCATTAGTTTTCAGGGAAATGGAAGTTAAAGCCACCAGAACGTCTAAAATAAAAAAGACTGATATTATCATAATGCTGGTGAGCAGGTAGAGTAGTGGTGATTCTCACACTTCGTTGGGGTGAATGTGAAATGACCTTTCACTTAGGGAAAGTAGGGGTGCAGAGATGCGATGCATACATAAATAGTATGAGAGACACAGAGAAAGGACATGGAGTCCAGCATGGTCAGGAGAATTTAGGGAAGGAGGAAGCGGCAGCTTCCAGCTGAAAGGCATGAGGATGAGCTTCTTGGAGAGCGTGGCATTTGAACTGAGCCTCCGAAGGGAGAGTCAGACGTGGAAGTAGAGGGAGTGCAGGAGCAGAGAACCTGTGCATCCTGGCGGCGTCACCTGGTGCAGTCCTCACAAGCTGCCACCCGTGATTCTGTGTCAAAGTTATTTCATTGGACTTAGAGCAGTTATTTTATTTTGTTGTTCATTGATTTATTGTCATCTTCCCCACTGATTCTAAGCCAGGGGACTAGCCCATCATTAGCATGGAGGCCCTCCTGGTAGGGGTCTTAGCCTGTTTTGTCCACTGCTGTATCCCCCACCACAAGAGTGGCCGGCACAGAGTAGGCATTCAGGGAATATGCGTTGACAGAATGAGAAACAAATGAGTTAAAGTTGTTCAGTTTGGTGAGGTGATAGGTAGACAGTGGGACCTCGAGTTCCCAGAGCAGGCTGGAGCTAACTGCGGAGGACCTGGCATGGCTGTGAAGGCATTTGAGCTCCATTTTATGGCCTGAAGGGGACCCTAGTGGTTTCGAGACAGAGATTGTCTTACTTTGGTGAGGCTGCTCTAACAAAACCACAGACCGGGTGGCTTGTAAACAATAGAAATTGATTGCACACAGTTCTAGAGGCTGGAAGTCCATGATCCAGGTGCCAGCAGGTTTGGTGTCTGGGGAGGGCCCACTTGCTTGTTCATAGACTGCCATCTTTTCTCTGCGTCCTCACATGGTGGAAGAGGTGAGCTAGCTCTTCAGGGTCTCTTCTTATAAGGGTACTAATTCCATTCTTGAGGGCTTCACCTCCTGACCCAATCGCTTTTCAAAGTCCCCACATCTTCATACCATCACCTTGGGGGCTAGGCTTTCAACACGTGAATTTTGGGGAGGCATGTTCACACCATGGCTGGCGTGATAGGCTCTGAGCCATGTCTCAGGAACCTGAGTCTGGCAGGGGTGTGTGGATAGGTGAAGGAAGGGGGAGACGTGGTGGGAAGATGATGCTGATTTGTCTTCCAGATGACGGTTGACGAGGGCCCCAGCGAGGCCATGGCAGTGAGCGCAAAGGAAAGGGGATGGAAGCGGGGTTTGGAGGCCCGAGTTGCAAGGATATTCCAGCTAAGGCTCTCTACTCACAGGAACATCAGGGAAACAGTCATCGTCAAGGGCAGGGAGAGAGAGAAGCGCTTCCTTAAGCAGTGCTCCTGGAGCAGCAGAGTGGGCTCTGCCGTCCTTCTCTGAGGGCAGCTGTGCAGTGGGCAGAACCCAGGCCCAGAGTCAGGTCTTGTCGCTGATACTTCTTGGCTGTGTGATTTTCCACAGGTGATTACTGTGTCCCTGAGCTGTTAATGTCCTTATTTGCCAGCTCACAGATGGTTGTATTGAGTAAATCAGGTACATTAAGTCTGCTGCCAATACCGTAGGTGCTGAAGAAACAGAAGTTGTCATCTGGGTGCAGTGGCTGACACCTGTAATCCCAGCACTTTGGGAGGTCGAGGCGGGCGGATCACCTGAGGTGAGGAGTTTGAGACCAGCCTGGCCAACATGGAGAAATCCCATCTCTAATACAAAAATTAGCCAGTCATGTGGGTGGGTACCTGTAATCTCAGCTACACAGGAGGATGAGGCAGGAGAATTGCCTGAACCTGCAGGGGGCAGAAGTTGCAGTGAGCCAAGATTACACCACCACACTCCAGCCTGGGCTTCAGAGTGAGACTCTGTCTCAAAAAAAAAGAAGAAACAGAAGATTGCTACACTACAGGGTTGTTCGGAGGATTCAGTTGGGTCTTAGATGAAAGAAAACTTTTTGTTGGGGTGGGGAGGTGGGGAGAGGTAGCGTGGGGAGAAATGCCAGATATAGGTGAAGGGGAGGAAGACAGCAAATCACACTGCCATGTGTGTACCTATGCAACAATCTTGCATGTTCTTTGAATGTACCCAAAAAAGGAAAAAAAAAAAAAACTTTCCGTAAGTCTTAAATCTAATTTCATTGGTGTTACCGTAAACGATTCATTACCCAGTTCCATGGTTCTGTGTATTCTTGTGTTTAAGACTTTTTGTGTTTGATGAAAGACCTTGTTAGAATCCTGTTGTCTAGATGAACTCTTGTTCCTTTTCTTTTTATTTGTTCAGGAACTTAAAGTAGAGGTCTCGTGTGATTTTTAGCAAGTATCTTTGTAGCAGAGAATCTGAGCTGTGTTAACAGGAGGACTGTTGCATCTGCAGCGATGGCTGGGATGGTCTCGAGCCACCCGGTGCTGCCCTGGGCCTGTGCCCAGCGCTGCTCATCAGGCTTTCCCTCTCCTTAATGTTTCCTCAGGTCTTTGTTTTATGAAGAAACGTTTTTAACCTGTGTTTCTCTTTTTACTGACAAGCTTCTTTCAAAAGCTTTTTCACTTTCTTTCTGTGCTTCAGCTTTCTGAGGAAGAGAAAATTCAGCGCTACAGCATCCTCTCCGAGCTCTATGAGCTGATCGGCTTCCATCGCAAGTCTGCATTCTTCAAGCGCGTGGCTGCCATGCAGTGCGTGGCCCCCAGCATCGCCGAGCCTGGGTGGAGGGCTTGCTACAAACTCCTCCTGGAAACGCTCCCCGGCTACAGTCTGTCACTGGATCCAAAAGACTTCAGCAGAGGTACTGGAGTCCCCTTGCCGGCGCCGAGGTGTTGCTTTCTGTTGGCTGATCACATGCTGTTTGGGCCCCTGCTCTGCTTGGCACACATTGTGACTGGCACTGGCGGCTCAAGGATGACTAGATCCCTGCCCAGTAGTTGGGTACCTACTATCATCAGATGATAAGAAAATGTACTTTGCTTTGGGGTTCGGATTTTTGAATCTTTATCAGGGGGAGTTAGAAATCGCCTCTGAGTTCATTGGCATGGTATGTCCTCATCAATCAAATACTGGAAATACCTAATGAATTTTACTTAGGATATGTAGTTAGGTTAGCACAAGTCAAGCAGGAATAAATATGCTTGGGTATATGTGTCTACCCCAGCTATGCTAAGTAAATTCTTACTCTGAAATATTAATGCAGGGCAATACATATTAAAAATAAAGCTATAAATCTAATAACAAATATGTATAAGGGTAATGCTCTGTATTAGGCAAAGTCTAATTAGGAGGAGAAAAAATATTTTTTGGGGCCAGGTGAGGTACCTCACTCCTGTAATCCCCAGAAGTTTGGAAGGACAAGGCAGGTGGATCACTTGAGGTCAGGAACTCATGATCAGCCTGGGCAACATGGTGAAACCCTGTATCTACCAAAAAATATGAAAATTAGCTGGGCGTGGTGGTACGCGCCTGTAGTCCCAGCTACTTGGGATACTGAGGCATGAGAATCGCTTGAACCTGGGAGGCGGAGGTTGTAGTGAGCTGGGATTGCACCACTGCACTCCATTCTGGGCGTCAGAGAGAGACCTTCTCAGAAAAACAAAAACAAACCATGTTTGAGGGGTTGCTTTTAGATAGGAAACATATAGCACTTTTTTTTCAAGCCTAGAGTTAGTGAAGGCATACGCTTCTAGCTAGGAAAAGAACGGAGATGTCATCTAGGTTAATTTCCTACCAGGGTAAAATGGATTCTTCAGCATCTTTTTTATGTGGTCATGTCCATCAGTTTCACTGGCCTCTGCTGACTGGAGGTGCTCATGGCTTCAAATCCAGTTCTACTTTGGATAATTCTGATTGTTAGGGCTCTCACCAACATGGATTTAAAAATTATGTTTCTCCTTACTTTCACCTGCTGGAATATCTGAAGACATGTCTACTGGACTTTTTGGTACATTGGTTCGACAGGTAATTAGTTAGACTCCTGCCCCATTACAAGTGGTATGTTGGGTGAGTGACGCGATGGCGAAGGAGGTCTGCCCTGTCCAGTGGAAGTAGACAGCTTCCTCTCACATGTGACAGCTTCCCGCTGTCTGCCCAGAGCTCTCAGGTCCTTCCGGAGCTGCTAATAACTTACATGTCTAATGTTGCTGTGACCATCCTCCTAAGTCACACTCCCCAGACTTCTTACTGTTCAGTCATCTTCCCAAGGCAACACTTAGATCTGATAGAATCTCAGATCAGATTCTCAGGAGGCATTCTGATTAGCTGTGAGTAGGGGTCAGCAAACTTTCTCTGTAAAGGGCCAGAGAGTAAGTATTGTAGGCTTCATGGGCCTCACAGTCTCTGTGGAAATGAGCCGACCCTGCTGTTGGGGTGTGAAAACAGCCATGGGCAGTGTGTAAACCACGAAACTGTTCACATTAGGACATGGTGGCCAGATTTGGCATGGCAGCAATGCTTTGTGAAATCCCTGGCTGAGAACACGGTGATATCTGAAAGCATGTATTCATTTTCATTGATTAGAAATGAGGTTTTGTTATGTTGCTCAGGCTGGCCTCAAGCTCTTGGGCTGAAGTGATCCTCTTGCCTCATTTAAAAGGAGGGCACTGGGGTTTGGAAGAGAAAGTGCAGACTAAGTGAGGAGTGTAGCCAGAGGAGTCCTTCAGGCAGGGAGGGAGGGGAGTGGAGGGAGATGGGATGGAGCGCACGCAGCACTTTAGGCTCCTATTTCTCTCCAGGGAATAGAACTAGACCTGGGGGGTGCTTTTGCAACGTGGGGAGGACACTTCTGCTCTGGACTGCTGTGGTCTGGCCTGAAGCTATGCCAGGAAGAGCTGAGGCCCTGCGTGCAAGCAGATGTATTCAGGGTTGAAAATCTCCCAAGTCCCATCAAGATCCCCATATGAATCCCCAATTTTTGAGGGTTTTTGTCTTTAGACCCTAAGATATCCTGCCTCTCTGGAGCCACAGGGTGAGGCGGAATGCTGATGACATTACGGGCAAGTGAGACAAGCCTGTCACGCTGTCTGCTAGGGCAAGATGGCTGAGATCTGTCAGGGAGTTTGGGACTTTGTGTGTTCCCCCTCAACATGTGGCATGGTGTCCAGCACAAAGCAAGCACCAGGACATCCCTGCAGAATAGGCCTGCTGGAGAGGGTCCCCAACTCCGCTGTTGACCTCTCGCACTCAGTACTAAGATGAAAGCAAAGGACAAAATCCAGGTTCAAAATGAACTCCGCTAACAGTATGAGTCCAATCACCAGCACATCCAGCACAGACAGGTGACAAGCCCCATGTTTAATTAAAGAAACCCCCAAAACCATGTCAGGGTATAGAAAAGAGGAGACCTGGCGAGGTCATGCACAAAGATGGATAAGGTGTGCGCTGAGGTGAGGTTCATGACAGTTTTTCTGCACGTGCCCTGTCACCTGCCCTCCCTTTCTCTAATTTCTTTTTCCTCTGTGTTCCCCAGAGGGATGGGATGGAACCTGTCTCCCGAGCCCTTGTTTCATGACTGGCGCCTTTAGATGGACCGTGAGATTGTGTGAATTGAGGCTGATGACCCACTTACCTCCTGCCCTGCAGACCCACAGACTTCCCCACTGTCAATAGCCCATACCAGGGTAGTACACTTGTTGCAATTGATGAACCTGTGTTGACACATCGTCATCATCCAAAGTTCATAGTTTACATCCGGGTTCACTTTCAGCATTGTACGTTCTGTGTGATTTGACAAATGTGTCCTGACGAGTATCCACGATTATGATATCATACAGAGAAGTTTCCCTGCCCTGAAAATCCTCTGTGCCCTGTCTCCTCATCTGCCCCTCCCTATTACTTCTGGCAACCACTGACCGTTTTACTGTCTCTATAGTTTTGCCTTTCCCAGAATGTCATATAGTTGGAATCACACAATATGTAGCCTTTTCAAATTGGCTTCTTTCTCTTAGTAGTATGCATTTACGTTTCCTTCATGTCTTTTCATGGCTTGATAGCTCATTTCTTTATAGTGCTGAATAATATTCTACTATCAGAAGATGCCACAGTTATTTATACGTTCATCTAATGAATCTTGATTGACCGCTTGGTTGCTTGCAAGTTTTGGCAATTGTAAAGCAGCCGTAAACATTTGTGTGCAAGTTTTTGTATGGCTATAAGTTTTCAACTCATTTGGGTGAATATCAAGGAGCATGGTTCCCGGCTGATACAGTAAAAATATGTTTAGTTTTGTAAGAACCTGCCAAACTGTCTTCCACAGTGGCCGTACCATTTGCATCCCCATCAGCAACGAATGGGAGCTCCTGTTGCTCCATGTCCTTGCCAGCATTTGGAGTTGTTAGTGTTTTAGATTTTGGCCATTCTTAGAGGTATCTCATTGCTTTACTGTGCAGTTCCCTGATGGCATATGATGTTGCGCATTTTTCTTTTGCTTCTTTGCCACCTGGATATCTTCTTCGGTGAAGTGTCTGTTCAGACCTCTTGCCCCCTTTTTAATTGGATTGTTTATTTCCTTGCTGTTGATGTTAAGAGTTTTTTGTATGATTCGGATGACAGTCCTTTATCAGTTGTGCCTTTTGCAAATATTTTCTCCCAGTCCGTGTCATGTTTTCTCGTTCTCTTGGTATGTCTTTTGCAGAGCAGAAGTTATAAATTTTAACGAAGTCTAGCTTATCAGTTCTTTCCTTCATGGATTATACCTTGGGTGTTGTATCTAAAGCGTCACTGGTATACCTAAGGTCACCTAGATTTTCTCGTGTTAACTTCGGGAGGTTTGGATTTTTCTCATTCTTCACTGGGTTTCTGGTCTGTTTTGAGTTAATTTTTGTGAAGAGTATAAGGTCTGTGCCTGGAGGTTTTTTGCTGGTAGATGTCCATCTATCTCAGCACCATTTATTGAAAAGACTATCTTTGCTCCACTGATTGCCTTTGCTGCTTTGTCAAAAACCAGTTGACTGTGGTTACAAGGTTCTATTTCTGAGCTGTCTCTTCTGCTCCATTGACCTATTTATCTGGTATTTCACCATTACCACACTATTTTTAGTACTATACCTTTATAGCATAATTTTTTTAAATAAATAAAAATACTATTATTTTAGGGCTATTTTTATTTATTAAAAAATTTTATAATAGAACAATTTACATTTCATTAAATCATTCTGTTTAGACACACGCACATGTATGTTGACTGCAGCACTATTCACAATAGCAAAAGGCATGGAATCAACCTAAATGCCCATCAATGATAGACTGGATAAAGAAAATGTGGTACATCTAACACCATGGAATACTATGCAGCCATAAAAAGAATTAGATCATGTTCTTTGCAGGGACATGGATGGAGCTGGAGGCCATTATCCTTAGCCAAACTAACACAGGAACAGAAAAGCAAGTACTGCATGTTCTCACTTATAAGTGGGAGCTAAATGATGAGGGTAGAGGGTAGAAGGAGGGAGACGATCAGGAAAAATAACTAATGGGTACTGAGCTTAATACCTGGGTCACAACACAAGTTTCCCAGTGTAACAAACCTGTGCTTGTTCCACTGAACTTAAAATGAAAGTTTAAAAAAATGGTTCTTATTAGATGTTACAAAAAGTTGATTGTTCACACAAAAAAGGTGATTGTTCAAATTTTCTTTGCTATTTCCTGGTATTTTAGGTGACATAGCTGGAGTAGCTGCTGTGCTGGGCAGGGTGGCTATGCTGGGCAGGGTGGCTGTGCTGGGCAGGGTCGCTGTGCTGGGCAGGGTGGCTATGCTGGGCAGAGTCGCTGTGCTGGGCAGGGTCGCTGTACTGGGCAGGG